TTGCAAGTATCTGCATGTTTTTCTTTGTGTTGTTTTTAATCTTTAAAAAAAAGATCGAGCGAATGTTACTGCATGTGCTTTGACAAGTTTATTTGTTTGTATCATTTTCTATGATGATGATGATGATCGTAATTGGGGAATGTAGCATATATATTTATTTATTTACTTTTAAATCCTAGGCCGTAACTTTCAACCTATTTAAATGTAGGACCGGTGGAGCCGGCCAAGTTTAAACCTCTGGGCTTACCCTGCTCGTTCACACCCATTTTAGAGCTAATTACTCATGAGCTCATTAAACAAATTATGTAGTGAAGAAATAAGAAAAGGATAATCATTGGTTTTTGAGTCAGCATTCCTCATTCTGAGCTCTCCTTTTTTTTTAATTCATATTGTATTCATTGAGCTCTCCTTCGCCAACGTATTTGCCCTGGCGTTTATCCCAACACCCGTCCTTACATTCAACCAAGAACTAGAATGCATCCAGTCTACAGAAACAGCTTGTAACACATGCAAAATTTTTAAACTTCTCTAACCTTTTATGTCCGAGGAATTGACTTGTAAAAGCATCTAAGCTCACGTCCTTTTAGGTCTACGCGTCAGGAAATTGTATCTCCGACGGCGTGCTAAATGGGTGTGCGTCTTTTCTAGCCCACAGCTACAAACCAGGTTTGCATCTTCTTGCTTGAAGTGACGGTGATACGCTGCAAAATCCCCTTGCCCGAGGGAATATCGCATAGGCGGTGTATTTAGAAATGTTAGATTTGGCTAGCGTAGGCCGGCAGAACTTAACACTCAAATAATATATTCTTTGTCTAGTCAAAGAGATTAAAGAATCGATATCCGAATAACCCGTGTTCTGACTTTTTTAAAGTTGTGTGCATACTAACTAATCTGAATGATCTCAACATGGAGCAATTATTAAACTCAGCGACCACGGAGCAAGTAGGTTTTCTTCTAGAAGATACGAAAGTAAGAACTCAAGCAGCACTAAATTCAGACCAATTCTGCCAATGGACTACAGAAAGTTATTTACGGGTATCTTTTGCAAAACCGTGAGGAATTCTACACCATATGACCGATTTCAAATTCCACTCGCTTTTCTAACCCTTAGCTATATTGTCATTCTTGGGCATCTCAAACCAAAAATGATTCAATCACCAAATAACCTGAATTTTAAAAATGATCCTGATCCGTGGGGCAACCCCATCGGCCCTACTGAAAAAGAGCAGCTGAAGGAAGAATTTATCTATACCTACATCACATGGGGATTTGAAAATTATGGGGGGCTCAACAACATTAACAGAATTTTATAGAAGCATTTTCGCGGAGGTTCCGAAGCATAATCAATCGAAAGTTTCAATAGAGGCAATTAAGGAGCGCTGAAAAGACTTTGTAGCTATCTCGATACTAATGGAGCCTGGATTAAGCCATAGGTGGGCTCTGTATCATGTGCCAAGAAATTGCAGGTATACGATGAAAATGATAAGCCTATAAATGGACCAAAGAAGAGATACAGGATTGTATGGAAAAACATCGAGAAGAATTCTATTAAACTTGAAATATCAATAATTTTAATCTAAAAGCATCTTGAGTTCTACCAATACAATTTATTTCACCTAATAATACTGAAACACGCTCAGATAAGAAGCATTGAATTAGGCTACGAATTAAAACAACAAATCAACAGTCATGGAACCCTACAAACCAACCAGTAAATGAACGTAGTAGATGGACTGAGGAATAAGGACTATGACAAATCTTGGACCGAACGCAGGCTCACCTTGGGCATGTGGATGTCATAGATCAGGTATAAAAGCAATCAGCATTTGCATAGAAGATGGTAGTTCATATTTTGACTTATAGTGAGCTATCTAGGGAGTCGGATAGGTATTTACACATTCCTTTTCATACTATTTTTGGTCTTCATCCCAGCAGTGATCACGGTTTACTAACCTAGATCATTCTAGTAACTTCTCGTCTCGTCCCCGGAAGGATCTTTTTTCATTGCTAGAAGTTTACCACTATTTCTAGGTGATTCTCGATCATCTTTGCTCTAGTCTCGAATGTTCCACCAGAAAGATGTGCCAGGTAATCATATATAAGAATCTACTAGAGTATTCCTGTGAATTATGATCAGGAGCCAAGAACTGTCTGCGCTAGCCAGCGTAGACTACAGGCATTACTCGGTTTACTAATCGTTACTATAAATTTGCAGACCCACTCATAAATATCATGAGGGTCTACAGCTCAGATGAAAAGAAATACGGTAGAGAGGAATATCAAATTTTCGTCATCAAGCTTCAGGTACATGATGACTATTGAATAAAGATAAGATTACTAAGAGAAAAATACCACAATGCATTTTCTATTATGCCCTAAAGTCGGGCCAGTGAAATTTGCCAAAGTGAAATAGCAGACAAAGTTTGGAATCTCGATCGAATTCTAAGAGCAACAAAAAATCACTTCGAAATGGATGAAAGCCGGCAGAAATACTTGTCAAAATGCCAAGTAGCGACTATTCAAGCCATTACTGCTTCCAATTCGGATGAGTCTAGGCTTGAGTGATTGTAGCTATTATTTAATCATCTCCAAGAATTTCAGAAAAGTCTGCCAAAAGAATATCGAAAAAATCACTGTCTTCAAGACTAAACTCTGAATACATGCAGAGGTATGGAGAAATGTAGCTTTGTATCTTTAAAGCAGCACTCATCTACGAAAAATAAAGTGCAGAACTAGGATTAGCTTTTTCTAAAGTAGTGCCTGCTGAGAAATGCAGACATTTCGTACTCGATCCAAAAAGAACCAGCCTGCTACTAAACTTGATCATCACTGAATTGACCACATATTTAGTAAAAAAATCAGATGAAATTATCTTGGTGGTAATGTAGGAGATATTTGTCTTGGAGGAGGCTTCCGTGGCAGTTTCTAGAGAGATAATTCCCGCCAGAAAAGGCGTCAAGGTATGAACTATGGAAGTTGTTCTGTTTAAGGTAGACCTCACCAAAAAAAATACTACGTGTGTAACCAGATTGGTTGTTGGTCAAATAAGCATACCATGCAATAATGTCAGAAAACATATAAAGGGTCCTGTCAACAAGCTCAAAACACAATAGAGAGAGAAATTACCCTACAATACTTCCAGTGTCTTCTTGACTAATTTGAAGGGATAAAAGGCGTCTCTGACAATGACAAAGATTAGAAACAGCTTGATATGGACCACTTGCTCACGCTGATGGTAATTGAGGACGAACGGTCATATCTATCTGGGAGGTACTTCACACAGCTGAGACAAATTAATAAAATCTAAATAGTAGCTACCCTGAATTATAAGTCAACCATCCGTGCGGTTACAAGAGAGGACATCTGTAATAGCTCAGCAGAGAGTATCATTAAGTCATCTAATACTAATGAAACTTCAGTACTTACGTTCAACAAAAGATACCCATCAATCACATTCCAAAACAACGTGCCTAACAGCTGGGCGACAGGTATCCAGAAAACTGGAAAGCCGCAATTTTTAGTACCACGGAAGCATGACTCAAGAACCCAATTACATACTTCAACATCAGGTGCTCACAAGATACAATTTACGAAAAGAGATGCTCTCTATGAGGGGACTGTCAGAGTTTTGACAAAATTTAGTATAAGCTAACTCTCGATCCGTGACGCTGCAATTAAGTACTAGTGACAAAGAACTCTCCATTGATTGAACCAATCCTTTTACCGCGCTCACATTATAAGAAGCTCTAACGTTAATTCAAAACACTTTCATCGAATATGTGTTCTATGACAAAGGTGTTGTTTTGGATATCCCGTAAGTATAATAAGAAGCAGATAAGATCAAAAGATCAAATGTTTTGTGTTTTTAGGCCAGTTAGCGGAATGACAAAGCTATCTCACTATTTGCAGCAGCATTTAACCATTATTATGATATGGTCATGTGTCATCACATTCTCGATCATATTAGATAAGCTCTACTCGAGCACAGAACAGCCAAATTCTCGAGCAAGTTTCAGAAATTAAAGATGCCACCCAGTTTGTCCAGGGCGTCAAAAATAACCCAAATTTATTATTTAATGCTGTTCGAGAACTCTCGGAACGCAACAAAACGTTACTCACGACTAGCGATGAGCTCCTAGCTGCTCATAAAAAGATTGAAAGACTAGAACAGGAGACATCACAGGAAAAGTCGAACATAGAAAGGTTGTCAGTAAACCATCTTGCTGATGCCGTTTTAACCCGTACCCCTTCTGTGCCTAAATCGTCAAAAATTCCTCACCCACACCTATTCTCTGGTGATAAAAAGGACTTTGACCTGTGGCGAGATGCCATTTTGATGAAACTAAACGTTGATAATGATCACTTCACCACTGAACAATCAAAAATGGCGTACATTTACTCAAGACTTAAACCATCTAGTCAATCTCATCCACACACATGGGTTAGAAACTGTCAGGTGTTGTTTGCGTCAGCCGAAGAAATGTTTAAAACGTTGACCACGATTTTTGAGGACCTAAATTGTTCTCGTGATGCTGTTTCGCGCCTTCATAAAAACTTTCAGAGAAATAAACCCTTCGCTCAATGGCTAGCTGAAATCAGACGAGACGCCTCAATTGCTGACTATCAATTTTATTCTCGAAATCTTCGGGATTTAGTAATTGAAAATATGTACCTACAATTAAAAAAGTCTCTCATTGATGAACGAGATGTCGATATGCTTGGTTTAAATGATATGGTTTCACGACTTCAAGATATTGACAATCGTCAGAGAGCTTTTGAGACTGCCCTTTCTTAATCTAGGACCTGTTTTCGTCCATCCAGCTCTCTACAAAACCAGGCTCTTTCCAATTTTAAGGAAGGGATAGAGGAGACTACGGACTCCTCATCTAATAAACCATTGCAACGAGGTCCTCTGTCAAAGTAGGAAAAAGAAAGAAGGCGAAAGTTTAGTTTATGCTACTACTGTGGGGTGAAGGTGTCATAGCTTACCCCAGCCTGACATGATTCTGTGTAATCTGAGCCACGATACGAGCCAATCTACATCATATTTTATCTTTATTATTCACAGCAGCTTTTTAAAAATGTCAAGGCCTACTACATTACTGGTTGTAGTCGCTAGCGCTTCTCTCACTAAGTTGTAATTATCTCTTAGCTCAGAAGTAACGAGCTGGGTTACATCATGGTTGATCACAAAAAATCCTTCTTTTAGTAGGATGTTCTTATGTATGGATCATGAAGTTAAGGGAGTTAGGAGTTGTGGAAGTAGAGGTGGAATAGTACAAGCAAATATGAGTAGAAACATTAGAGCAGGAAGATGTATTTAAGGAAGTCGAGGGACATCGATGTTCAGTAGCTCCTTGTCTTATTCATGTTCTACAGATACCTTGAACCACTTTGTGAAATATGCCATGAACTACATCTTAAATCACGCATTGAATCATACTTTGAACCACGCTCACAGAAGGGCCATCTGGCAGAATTATGCTCTCTCCTTCCTAGGATCTTAAGCCGTTCTATAGGTCTCTGCGACTTACTCGGGAAAAGAATAAGCAGTTTGGGAAGTTGTTCAAAGAGCTTACCGGTAAACTTGATAATATTGTCCATGGACATGAATGATTCTGTCTGGGGAGAAAAAATCAATTTCGTATCAAACTGTTTATCAAAAAGTAGTCGGCAAAAGTTCATTCCCATCCTAATCCTTATTAAAAATCGTGCTTCTGATCATGGATTCATAAACATCAAATCTGCCTCTGTTAATAATTTTGAGTCGATCGAACCCTCTTTTCTGTGGTCACTGAAGAATTTTGATGGTACTGACTCCATATCTGGTCAGATTACTCACCTAGCAAAAACGTTGTTAAGTATCAATGGATTAACCAGAACATATTTTTATTCGTTATTTCTTCGGCGTATTTTGACATAGTTTTTGGTCTTTCGTGGCTCGAGAACTACTGCCAAAAAATCAAGTAGAATTAAGGAATCCTAGAGTTTTATGAGGAATATATCAAAAATCCTAGAGAGCTTCCCTGTAGAGCAATAGCTGTCTCATGTACTACGGTTAGACTATGTGATATTTAAAACTAAGAACCGTAAAGAAATTGATTGATGTCGAAAATTGTGACGCTCATAGTTTCGAATCATATGCTACTCAGGATTATCAGACCGTTATGACACTATCAGTTAAAGATGTTAAGGAAGCCTTACGTAAAAAGCTAATCACTGAACCCGCGGAGATACTTCCCAAGATGTATCATAAATTCTTGAAATATCGTCGATGGAAGATACTGATAAACCTCAACCTCATAAGCCAAGTGACTACCAGATTGTGGTGGGCAAGACTGAACACCTGTACGCGTTTTCTTCTACGAACTTGGGAGTGAAATAAACTCCCAGATCCAATTCAGTCAAATTTCACAATATCAAAGAAGTTGGCCCACGAGGCAATCATTCAAAATACCCCACAATGTCAATCTTTCACTCCCAACGAAATCGATTCCCCACCAAGACCTCATCAAGTTTACAGGTACGACTTAGTACATCCTCCTTTCAATGACCTCACATCTCGTCGACTTTCTCTGGCCTCAGCCGGTCACCAAATACATGCCCACGCCGATATTTATACCCGACGGAGGACACAAAGCGTGGCGCACAAATCTGGAAGACTGTTCTTCGGGGTGGGCGTGAGAGGGATTAGGACAAGTTCACAAAACGATGCAGAGAATGGATACAGTCTCGACGGGCGTGAAATTTTGAATATTGGTAAGGAGTTTTTACAAACTTAGCTTTGTTCGTGCAAATGCTTCGGTTTCGAGAGTGCGGGCGACACTATAAACACCGCTATGGTTGGATGGTGCGGTGGTACATTGTCTTGGCCGGTCTACCAAGTAAGGTCTAGATAGCTTGGACACATATCCCACTCGAGACAGTAGATCGCTTGTTCAGATCTAGCAAAACACAAGCACTTTTCTCGCGGCGCTGGTATGCATGTGTGACAAAGGTTTTGAATTTCCCTTTGGCGGGTACTTACGGAGGAGGGTCGACTGTTTGTGCAAGCGAACATACCTTAGTGGTATTTATGAATGAAATCCAGAATATGAGTGTCTCTAACTGCAAAAGAGTCATCCATTATTTAAAAATAGTACCGGTCATGTGTCACAGCTAGATAACTGAATACGTATTAAAAGATCCAAAAAAAAGTATTGTCTCAGTTACGGGAAGCTAGACTAAAAATGGATATAAATAAGTGCGAACTTCAATCGGGAGCATTCAAAGACGTGCTCCACGACCGAATGATCCATAACCTGAGAGATAAAAGGATTCCAAAGTGGATAAGTCTTTAGAGATTTTTCTAGAGCAGAGATTATCTTCAATGGTATTTGCATCATTTAAAGGGGACCTGTGATGAGCGATCAACAAAACAATATAGTAAAGGAATGGTGGCCGATTACTGTCTATTTTCTACATACATCTCGGAACTGTCCACCGAGGAGAGGCTACTTAAGGTGTCCCAACTCCCAATGCGCTAACCTCACTATCTATTCTACTACACCATATCCTTGATATTCCGAGTGGGCTCGTCATAGCGAAACTGGGTCGTATCGGCCCATGATTCCATATGAGACTTGCTGCAACAATATCTTGTTTCCATATTTGTTGCAACCCTGTATTTGTATGGCCAAGTTGGACATCTCTTTAGATAGCAAGGCTAATGACGTAATAATAATAAGTGTCCGTGCGACAGTCAGTAGGAAATAGGCGCAGCCTGTAACAGGACCGGGACACTGCAAAGCTCTTCCCTCTCTACCACGAACTAAAGGCCTAATCGGAAGAGATAGGAATTAAGTCTAAAGATTTCTGTTCCATTCTACTCTTTTCTATTTTATTCTTGATGAGGGCAAATTGGATAGTTCAAGAATAAAGGAGAAGAATATAGAATGAGCGCTCAGAGTGACTCTAGTTCGGCAGTTTATGGTCTTGCACTTTTAGAAACGTTTCCGAAAATCTTGAAAACTATTGCAAATTAATTTCTTAAATGTCTGACCTCTTGACATCTTGAATCATTGATCACTTGAAATACCGAGCTGTCGGACTGTTGACTCTTCGGCACTGTTAGCGAAAATCTTTGGCCATTTGACATCGATACTCTCTCGAATACTCCTTTTTGTCAGTAAACTTCTTCGGATGCTTGAAACTAGGTCGAAATCGGCAGCTTGACCCGTAGACGATATATAAATACTCATATGGTTAAACTCAACCGAAGAAAACTTCCGAAAGCTAGAGGCGAGACTTGAGATCTATGAACAGTGGGCAAAAAAGCATGGGTTCAGATTCGCGCCCGAGAAATATCAGCTGGTGCACTTCTCACGAGCCAGGAAGTGACATAACCTTGTAGCGATAATCGAGAACTAAGGCCACAAAACAGCACCGCAGTTTTCTCTACAAATTATCGTAATCTACTTTGATCCTAAGCTGAACTGGAAAATTCATGTAAAGAGCTTACGAATGAAGGCAGAGATGCAGGTCCAAATTTCAAGTACATTAATACAGTCAACGTGGAGAGCAACGTTTCACAAGGCAAAGGAACTTTAAAGTACGATTGTGAGGCCGATCCTGGCATATGAGTTACCCATCTGTTCTGAGGCTGGGCTCGATGGTAAATACCTGAAGGTATAGTTAAACCTCTTAGAGGCTTACAAAAAAACTGCATAAAAGTTGTCACAAGCGCATATAAGTCGACCAGCACGAGAGAACTAGAACACGAAATAGGCTTCCCACCAATCGAAATCATCTTGAAGCGACAAAGGCCCCAGAAATTCGGCCGTTCAAAGGAACTCCCTGTTCAAAAGACAAGTAAATCCGCTTATAGCAAAATACAGCAGCCCAACAGATGGAGACGAGATATTTGAGTACCTAACAGGTGGTTCAATTCAGCTCATTGGATAGAGATATGTAGAGATTGCCATACCAAAAGAATGCAGAAAGAGGCGAGAAAGTCTGCAGCATACAAAGAGCGAGAAAAAATATAGCCCAACTAGTCCTCATAGTCATAAACTTAGTAGGCACTTAAATTTAATTCTATTCTATTCTGTATTGTCTAACCAGAAACGAACTCAAAAGTATCTAGGACTTGCCACTTGTTGTGATGTCAGAATAATTGGTTCATAACAGGCTGAGATATGATCCGTCATATCCTTTTATGGTTGTGAGCTTGCGGTAGTCAAGAGGCTGTAATTTGTCATTGGCATTATACGCAGAAAGTGATAACCTTATGGTCTAATTGTGTGTATTTGGGTCATAGTTGTCAGGTTCTCTTGGGACTTGGTTACTTAACTTGAATAGGTAGGCGTTAAATCTTGCATACCTGATGGTAAAGATAATATAATAACAACTATGACTTGATTCTTGATTCTTGAATATCTAGAGAATAATACAAGACAGAAAGCTGGAGAGCTTTCCACATGAAGATACCGCAGCTACTTATACCTCGATACTATCTACTACAGACTACAATAATCTAGTTCCGGACCGATTCCTGTTATGACGCTCTGTATTAGCTCACAAGTCTCCCAGATATAGTAAGATTGCTATTAGATACACAGATCTAATATTGTGTCTTTTTAGGCCAGTTGGCACTGTGGTTAAGGGGGACTATTCTCAACACCTGTCAGTGGTGTCCCCTACGAACCTCCAGCTCTCACTGTAGAGTCTGCAGAGCCGAGATTCAGTAACAAAGTCCTCACTTCGACGAGGTTTCCCAATCGCTTTCGCCGTCTGTATTGTCTTCATCTCTCAACACATTCCCCTATCACCATTATCATGAAGCTGACGACGATCAGATCAGATGGTAGGGTCGGAGCCCTACTCATCACCCACCCTTGATCATAGAGGAAAAGCCATCCGATGAGTTTCCGGAGCGTACCCAGCACCCAATACAGAGATGGTGGATTGGATCAAGTCGGCCTCAACTGTTACAAAGAAGGGAGATATAGATGAATATTCGCACTTCATATGCTCCCGGTGTCTAGGCCTCGCCTGGCTGAGCCTGCAGGTTTTTTGAGATTTTTCCCGCGCACGCAGTTTCCATTGCTACCATTTTTATTTTTTTTGGGTAGAAGGTTCGGCGGAAAGGGTGGCCGGATTC